AGTGGAATTGCTAGGTCATATGGAAGCTCTATCTTTAGTAGGTAAATAAATCTCCCCACAGCTCTCCATAGTGGTTGGACCAGTTTGCACTCCCACCAGCAATGCAGGAGAGTTCCTTTTTCTCCACAACCTCACCGACATTTGCTGTTGCTAGTTTTTTCTAATATGTGCCATTCTCACTGGTGTAAGATGGTATCTCTTATAGTTTTGATTTGCATTTCCCTGATGACAAGTGATGTTGAACATTTTTTCATATGCCTGTTGGCCATTTGCATTTCCTCTTTGGAGAAGTGTCTTTAGTTCTTCTGCCCATTTTTTGGCTGGATTATTTTTTTTGTTTTTGTTGAGTCTCATTAGCTCTTTGTAGATTTTTGTTATCAGTCCTTTATCATTGGTGTTGTGTGCAAAATTTTTCTCCCAGTCGGTGGGGTTTCTCTTTGTTTTGGTTATTGTCTCTTTTGCTGTGCAGAAGCTCTTTAATTTGATGTAGTCCCAGCTGTTTATCTTTGCCTTCACTATCACTGCTTTGGGCGATGTGTCTATAAAGATTTCTTTGAGGTGCATTTAATGTAGTGTTTCACCTATATTTTCTTCTATGTATTTTATGGTTTCAGGTCTTATGTCTAGTTCTTTAATCCATTTTGAGTTGGTTTTTGTGCATGGTGTGAGGTAGCAGTCAAGCTTCATTCTTTTGCATGTAGCTACCCAGTTTTCCCAGCACCATTTATTGAACAGATTTTCTTTGCTCCAGTGCATATTCTTTGCTCCTTTGTCAAAGATTAGTTAACCACAAATCTGTGGGTTTATTTCTGGTTTTCCTATTCGGTTCCATGGGTCCGTGTGTCTGTTCTTGTTCCAATACCATGCAGTTTTGATTATTATGGCTTTGTAGTATAGTTTGAAGTCTGGGAGTGTGATGTGTCCATTCCCTTCTTCTTTTTTTTTTTTTCAGGAGAGCTTTGGCTATTCAGGGTTTTTGGTGCATCCATATGAATTTCATCAATAATTATTCTATTTCTTTGAAGAATGTCATTGAAATTTTTATTGGAACAGCATTGAATCTGTAAATTGCTTTTGGTAGGATGGCCATTTTAATAATGTTAATTCTTCCAATCCATGAACAAGGGATGATTTTCCATTTCTTTGTGTCTTCTTCTATTTCTTTTAACAATGCTTTATAGTTTTCTTTGTACAGGTCCTTTACCTCTTTTGTTATGTTTATTCTTATGTATTTGATTTTTTTGTTTGAATAATAAAAGGATTTTTTTTTTATTTCTCCTTCAGATTTATTGTTTGTGTATAGGAAGGCTACTGATTTTTGCGTGTTGATTTTGTGTCCTGCCACTTTACTAAACTGATTGATTAGTTGAATTAGTTTTTCTGTGGATAAACTCATGCAATTTGCAGCAACATGGATGGACCTGGAAGAGATCATTCTCTGCGAAATAAGGCAGAAAGAAAAAGAAAAATACCGGAATGAAAAATACTGGTCTCACTCATAGCAGGAATTTAGAAAACCTAAATAAGGGACCATGAAAAAGACTAATTGTAATAAAGTAAAAATCAGCTGTCATTCTTAAGTAGAATTTACACCCGGTGGTTTGACTGTTAGGAGGGCTATCTACAGGGTCAATTTCCAACAAAGACCATCTTGGCATTGCGGTGTCGGCACTACCACAGACAGACACTAGGTGGCGCCACAGTACCGTGATTTAGGGCATCACCAGCGAGGACTCAGCAGATAGAAACCCTCAAGTTGGAGATTACATGCAATAAACTAGAACAGGACTTTCCAATTAATTTGCAGAGTAGCAAAATTAAAAAAGAAAAAGGAACAGAACCTAAGGAACTCAGAGGACATCAAGCAGAACAATACATACATTATGGGAGACCCAGATGAAGAAGAGAGATGGGGAAGATAGCCTCTTAGAAATGATAATGGATGGCAGCCAAGTGAAGGGCAGCTCGCCTTCTCCATATACTCACAGCTAAATTGCAGGCGAACAAAGAAAACATTACGTAAACTCTGTTTATAGTGATATCAGGACAGGACAACCCCCAAGAAGGAGAGGTGTCTCATGTTTTAGAGACCCCTACTGGGGTCCTTTGAATCAGGCATATGTCAATATGGGACTGGGACTCCTGAGACCCAGTACTTCAGTGTTGTTAATTTCACTCTTTTTTATTTGGGCCATTCTCAAGGGGTGAGGTGGCATCTCAATGTGGTTTTAATTGACATTTCACTTACAATAAATTAAGAGGAACATTCCTATGTCTGTTGGACCTCAGAATTTCCTCTTTAGCAAAGTGTTTATTTAGTTCCTTTGCCCATTTTTAATTGACTGTTGGTTGGTTTCTTGGATTGGGTGGGAACTTTATAAATTTTGTTTTTTTTTAAATTTATTTTTATTTTAATTTTTGTTATTTAAAGAATTATTTGTTGATGTATACAAAAGCTGGGGTGCAGGCCAGAGATGCAGGAGTGAGAGTATTCACCAGAGACAGAGTAGAGAGCAGAACAGTCAGATGTACTGAAATACACTGCTGAGGGGAGCAGCGGGTGAGATAGGAGAGGTCTGGCCAGGGATCAAACTCATGCTGCAGTGGCTGGGAATAGCCTCCTTGTGTTGTGTCTTAACCCCTTGCGCCACAAGGGAGCCCTGGGAACATTATAAATTTTGGAATGAACTCCTTGTCAGATGTGTGACGTGCAAATATTTTTTATATTCTATAGGATGCCTTTCTGTTTTCTGTGCTGGTTTCTTTTGAGTTCCAAAAGCTTTTAGATTTGGTGTTGTCCCACTTGTTGAAGTTTGCTTTTCTTTCCCTTGGTGTTGGGGTCATGTTCCCTAATACATTTTGTTGCAGTTGTCCTATGGTGTACCCCTTATTTGCTTTCAGCACTTCATGCTTTGGGCTCTTATGTCCAAACATTTAATCCATTTGGAATTAGGTTCTGTATGGAGTTTTGAATGGGTCTTGCTTCTTAGTTTTGCAAGTCACTATACATGTTTCCCAACACCATTTTTTGGGGAAGATGTATTTATGCATGGAAGAACTGGCATGTGGACCAGATGTTCAGGGGTTGAGAGGGTTCATCAGAAAGAAAGTAAGGAGCAGAACAGATAGATCCACTGAAATACACTGCTGAGGGAAGCAGTCCGGGGGACAGGAGCAGTCTTCTGTGCCACATGAGAAGTCTATGGCATAGCCTTTAAACATAAGTCAAAACTTACTCAAGATCAGAGAATTCATATTGAAGTAAAACATTAAAATGTGAAGAAAGTGGCCATGTCTTTAACCAGAAGTCAAATCACTCTAAATATCAGAGAATGTATACTGGGAAGAAACCTACAAATGTAAAGTGATGCGTGGTTTGTACTCATAGACATTTTGACATTCATAGAAATATGAAATATGAAACCATCATATTTTCATACTAGAATGACACTTTGAAGAAGTGAAAAAAAAGTGAGAAAGTAATAATAACATGAATACGTATCTAAAAATTGTAATACAGTAATGTCATTAACTTCTCAGATATTTGTTTAAATCAATATTTTTTGGAGTATAAACTAACATTAAAACACTAAGTATGTATTAGTGTAATTTAAATGTTAAAGGTGATGGTTTCAGGACAGATATATTTGTTTTCCATCTACTTTTTATCAGATATACTTGAGGTATTATGAACTGGGGATGAATGTCATTCAGCTCTAATTCAATCCATTCTCTGGCTTTCTCGCCTTGTGTATATGAAGCCATGTGTTTGCTTTATTGTTGCTTCAGACATCTGAGAGACCCTCCTAGTAGAGGGATTTGTTCATATCTAACTTGCAGTGTAAATTTAGGACAGTAATGTGCCATGTCTCCAGAAAATCTAAATGGATATGCTGCTTCTGGTTGACTCAAGATTGATCTGAATCACCAAGAATTATGGGCTACATTGTTGGCATAAAAGTCAGACAGAGGAACATGCTGAAGTTGAAATCATTTTCTCCTTAAGGGAAACACAGTTGATTAAAATTATGATGTTTCTTCACGGTAGTAATAGATGTCATGAATATTATTTGATGTTGTTGTGAAAAAAGTTCTTTACAGGCACGTGATGACGTTTCCATGACAGGGAATAGAATTCTGTGCATGCACATTAGCTAAGTAATGTTTCTCTCTGTTGACCACCAACTCTGAGATCCCTGTATCAGAAGAACAAGAATGTTTATTACATGCCTGCCTCTTGATTTTGACCAAGCAGCATACAGTGGTATCTGTATATTTAGAGTATATGTCAACTTGATATATGTGCTAATAAAGCTGATTTTTAAAAAGGATTTATTTATGCATACACGGACTGGGGTACAGGCCAGAGGTTTTTTTTGGGGGGGTGAGCGAATTCACCAGAGACAGAGTGGGGAACGGAACAGACAGATCAACTGAAATACACTGCTGCAGGGAGCAGCGGAGAGTCAGGAGAGGTCTGCTGCGCCATGTGGGTATCTCCCTGTCCGGGGATCGAACTTGTGCTGCAGAGGTTGTGGATAGCTTCATATGCTGTGTCTTAACCTCTTGCACTACCAGGGAGGCCCAATAAATCTGATTTCTTGATGTGGAAATCCTCATGTATATTTGATCAGTGTTTTTGTTGTTCATGGAAGAAATGCAGTGTAGGCCAGAGGTGGAGTGGGTGAGAGGATTCACGAGAGACAGAGTGGGAAGCAGACTAGGAGGAGGTTTACCTCACGAACTGCTGAGGGATCAGCCCCTGAGACAGGGGAGCACGCGCGGAGCCGCCCAGGGCTCCGGCATTGGGCTTCCGGGCTCGTCTGCGCAGGCGCGGCCCGGCCCGGCGCCCTCTTCCCGGAAGTCCGGCCTCCGCTCTCGCCGCCGCCCCGCGGGTGAGTGGACCTTGTCTCTGGAGGGTGGGGCTGGGGCGACGCGGAGGAGCCGCGGGGTGTGGGGAGAAGGGGAGGTGGGGTTTGCGGACAGTGTGGAGAGAGGAGCTTCCGGCGGGGACCTGCGGGCAGCTGTCGGGGAGGAGCCGCGGGCCTGTGACCGGGCGCCTGGGAAGGGGCGGACCGTGACTGGGTGTCGGGGGGCCCTGAGGGTAACGCAGGGTGAGCCCCTCCAGTTGACGGCCTTTAGTGTTTTCAGGAGTTCTCAGTGGGAATGTGAGGTTCTGTTGGTGGTTGTCATGGAAGTTAACAAGTCCTCGCCCACGGGGACTGTTAGAAACATGGAGTGCGGCGGGTTTACGTGGATCCCTGAGCGTTTTCTGTGTCAAGATCCACCCGCGTTCACTGCCTTTCACAAAACACGCCTGACCATTTTGTTTCTGGAAGTCGGGCGGTTCTGCATTTTGGGCTTTTCCCTCCACTGATGCTGGTGCTGCCGGGATGACGCAGGAGGCTGCAGTTCCCTGGTGCCCTGATGAGGCGGGTTGGGGTAAGAATTTCACTCTCTGCTCGGTGGGTTTATCGTGGCTCTCACTTGGCCATGTGCCCCTGACAGGCCGGCCGCGGGTGTCTTCCCAGGACGACGGCGGCCCAGAAGGGAAGCCCCCCTGGAAAGAGGTTTTCATTCTCCGCGCGTGCACTGATTCCCTTTGGCCCAACATCCCAGGGCAAACCCACCTCATTGTCAGAGGGGGGTGCACAAGGAAATGAATCCGGGGAGCAAGGCTCTCGGAACCATTTCTGGGAATGAGCCATTTCATTTCCTTTGAAATTGTGTCCAAAATTTTTTTGAGTGATTAATCATCCCTGAAGGTTTTTTTTTTTTTTTTTTTTTAGTTCTTAGCATGAACTGTTATTCAATCAGTAGAAAGTATCAGTTTTTATTAACTTATGGTAAATTGTTAACCTAAATTCTACTAATAAGGGACTTGGTCCTTTCCTGCCCCTTCTAGAAGTGTAACACAGCTGTCACATGAAGTGACTTTCTGGTCTCTCCCAGGCAGTGTGTTGAGGGCTCTGGAGAGGAGACTGGACAGGGCCCAGGTGCCAGCTGCCTCAGTCCTCTCATGCTGGACCCTTCTACCTCTCCCAGTGCCACTCCAGAGTCCTTATGCATTTCTGAGAGCAGCAGACAATGAATCAATCTCGGGTGAGTGAATTGCTTTTCTTTAGCTTGTGGTCTGTACACTGACTTTATGCACTTTATGAGAGTTCATAAACTGAAATGCAAAAGTAGAAAGGTATAAAGTTTTCTCCAAGGAAACATACATCAGCAAGACAGAGATGTCATGGAGATACATGCACGGAAATTGGCCTTTTCCATGATGCCGTGTCATAGAGTGAGATGCGTGCTCCCTGATGAGACCAGACCCCTGGGGGACACTGTGCTGATTGTGGTGGGACCTGAGCACTTGCAGAGCAGAATCTGACACTGGTTCTTTATTGACTGAGTAGGTGATGACGTGGACTGTGGCTCTTCACCTGTCTGGAAATACACACTTACCTTGTTCTGCACTTGTCATGGTTACCTCTTAGATGCTAGGTAAAGGCCCAGTGAGAGGAAAGGTGGGTGCAGACCTGAATGCAGGTGTGGGTGCTCTCTTTAAACAGACACTGAAAAAACATAGTGTGTCCCAGACAACTGTTGGTGGCCCTTTCATGCCGGGATCAGTTTTGGATTGTGTGACAGTTGAATTCAATGGGGGGGGGCTTCAATAACTCCCCATGCTTTTTCTCAGGTTGTCTGTGCACCCACACAAGTTGCCCAGTGGACTGTTCAAAGTCACATTATCTGACAGTTGTTTTCACTGTTCCTTTGCATTTCTCCTTGATGCAGTCTCAAGTTGGACTTGTACTCCAGCCCAGTTACACGTCACTAACCTTTGCATTCCTCAAATTTCCTGCCACATTGATAATACTGTCTATGACCTTCTGGAAATTTTTTTTCAATTGTTTAAAACTTTTATGTACTTAATAGTTTGTTAGTTTACGTTCTTTACTTCTTTTTGGCTCAGTCTGTCTTTGACATTGTCGCACTACTAGCCCTTTAACTGAAATAGTGTGTTACTTTTCTCCTGCTTTCCTGATGGATTTGGCCCTCTAGCAAGCACCCTGGTCCATTTCCTGGCCTCTTGGTCAACATTATCTTCTTTTTGCCTTGCAGTTTTATTCCTACTGTTTTTTGTGTATAAATATTGTTTGTGTATTCATACACATGAAAGCTTCTGATATTAATCTTCATTTTTTTTTGTTTTTTTAAAGATTTATTTATTTATACAAGAACTGGGGTATAGGCCAGAAGCATGGGAGGGTAGAGGATTCACCAGAGACAGAGCGGGGAGCAGAACAAGCAGACAGACTGAAAACACTGCAGGCGAGACAGAAGAGGTCTGCTGCCCCATGTAGGTATCTCCCTGGCAGCCTGGAATTGAACCCGCACTGCAGAGGCTGCAGACAGCTTCATAGTGCTGCGCTTGATCCGCTGTGCCACCAGGGAGGCCCTCAGACGTCCTTTTTTCACTTATTTCACTCAATATAATCACCTCCTGGTCCACCCATTTTGTCCTAAATGCCACCCTTTGGTCTTTCCTCACAGGCATGTAATAATGCTGTTCAGTATGTGCTCCACATTTCTCTCTCCATTCACCTGTTGAAAGGCCTTCAGTTGCTGCCATGACTAGGCAGTTGGGAACAGTGCTGCTCTGTATGTAGGCATAGATAAATCTTTTCATACTTGCATTTTTGTACTATTTGTATAAATAACTGAATCACAGATATTGCTGGATCACGTGGAATTTCCATTTTTATTTTTTTAAGAAATCCCTATGCCATTTCCACAGGGCCTGTACCAACTTGCATTGCCACCAGCAGGGAGTGTAAGCTCTTTTTCACTGCAGCCCTCCAACGTTGCTAATTCCATTGTCTTTTTTTATTTGGACCATAATCACTGGAGTGAGGTGTACATCACTACTTTACCATATTCACTTAATACTAGTTTTTTACTAGTCTTTTGGTTTCTCTTAAGTATATTGACATGTGCTCTGTGAATCGTGGCAGTATCACTTTTTCTTTTCCAATTTGTATTTTTTTAATAATATGTAGGTAAGTTCCAGTTATTCCCGTTTTTTTTTTTTTTAAAGAAGACATTTTCAAGTATAGGGAATAGTTAGTTCTTTTTAAAAAATATTTATTTATTTATACAAGCACTGAGTACAGTCAGAAGCGCGGGAGGGTGATAGAATTCACCAGAGCCAGAGTGGGGAATAGAACAGGCAGACCGACGAAATACACTGCTGAGGGGAGCAGTGGGCGTGGCAGGAGAGGTCTGTTGTGCCATGTGGGACCCTCGCCAGGGGCTGGAGATAGAACCAGTGCTGCAAAGACGGTGGGCAGCTTTGCAGCCCAGCGTTCAACCACTGGGCCACCAGGGGAAGCCTTCCAGTTACTCCCTTTTTGTGAAGAATTCTTATCAGTGCTGTTTGAACATATGTTGAGATGATCATGTGGTTTTTGTCTTTTTACTCCCCTGGTGGTTGACAGTGGCTGTTTTGCATGTATTGAACTAGCCTTTCCTCCCTGGGATGAGTCTACTTGATCGTGAGCCATCACTGTTTGGTATGTTGTTGTACTCAGTTTGCTAGGATTTTATTGAGGGTTTTTGCATCCATGTTCATCAGTGATAGTGGTTTAAAATTTTCCCTTTTGGGGGCCTCCCTGGTGGTGCAAGGGGTTAAGACGCAACCTATGAGGCTGTCCACAGCATCTGCAACACACGTTCGATCCCCACAGTCTCTGCAGCACGAGTTTGATGCCCGGCCGGCCAGGGAGCAACCCACAGGGTGCAGCAGACCTCACCTGACTTGCCCGCTGCTCCCCTCAGCAGTGTACTTCAGACATTCTGCCTGTTCTGTTCCCCACTCTGTCTCTGGTGAATCCTCTCCCGCCCGCCCCCCCCACCACCTCTGGCCTGTACACCAGCTCTTGTATGCATAAATAAAAAAATCTTTAAAAATTAAAAAAATAAAATAAAGTTTTCCCTCTTTGTTTGCTTTTGGCATCTGGAGAATGTTGATCTCCTAGAGTGTGTCAGGGAGTTATCTTCCATTTTCAATTTTTTGGGAGTTTTAAATGTTTTTGTATTTGCTTCTGTCATGGTGTCTCTGACAATTTCTTCTCCATTTTCCTGAATGCTTGTATTTCTTCTGTTCCTGAATGTAGCTGATACACATGTTCAGTTCTAGTCCTCTTCACACTGCAATTCTCCTGACTGAGTCAAGCCACTGTGGCTTGGCAGTTCTACTGCCACTCACAAGCTCAGTCTCCCGCCCAGTCACAGTGCCACAGGCTCAATTCCCTTTGGCACCAGGCCCGAGTGTGGTGCAAAAACACAATTCCATGCTATTTTCTTGTCCCTTTGTTCATATCTTCAATAAAAGTTTGCGCTGGGAGAGTGAAAGTCAGAGCTACTCTCGATGGCTCTCCCATCAGGCTCCCCCCACCATTGCAAATTCATTTATTCTCCGCGTCTTCATTAATGGCAGAGAACTTCATTGGCTGTCCTTCTGCAGCAGTGGGTCCGAACAGGGTTACGAACTCTGCAACCTCAAGGAATGAGCATGTGGTGTGTTCTCTAGCGAACCTCTATAGTCATGGGTCGCAGCTGACTAAGGGGATTAGCTAAGGTTGGGGAACAAATGGGGCAGAATTTGACTCATCATCGTTATATAACCCTTTAAAAATGCCTGTTAGAACAGAGTGGAGCCACTGTCTCCACCCACAGCTCAATGAGCTGTTAGATTGGGTCCTTCAGACCTCTCCATGGTGCCTGGATGAAGGTGTTTTGGATATAGAAACTTGGGTATGAATTGATGAAACTGAAAAGGCATCCTAAACAAGGTATGAAAATCCCTGCTCTAGTTTTTTCAGCATGGGTTTTGGTATGAACAGCTCTGGAACCTTTTCAAGAAACTTTAAAAAAACACAAATGAAATGTAAATATGAGGTTCCTGGAACTTTTTGGCTTCTGATACCTTCAGCACCACTAAATTAAAAGGAAAATGGCTGTGAAAGTAAAAGCCCTGAAGGTCAATGGTCCCATAATAATCCTTTACAGAAGGAATCAGTTGTTGGTATAACTCCCATAGCCAAAGCTGTGAAAGAACAAAAGACAATTTTTGCAGAAGACCCAGAAATGGCTTTTCCAGTACAGGAAATGCCCGATCCTAATGTTATCCTACAGTAACTTCAATCTTTTGACCTCCAACTTTTAAAATCTCTAAGAGACAGTGTTCGAGAAAATGGAGTCCAAGCCCCCTTCACTTAGGCTAGCCTAGATACTTGTCAACAAATTTGCTTGCCTCCTTTTGATTGGCACAGGCTTGCAAAAGCGAGTTTAACTGGTGGGGCATACTTGCAATGGAAGGCAAGTGTTGGAGACTATGCACAAGAACAAGCCAGGATTAATCAGCAAAATAACTTCAATATTTCTTTCGAGGGCCTCCCCAGTGGCACAGCCACTGGGCTGCAAGGCTGCCCGCAGCCTCTGCGGCACCGGTTTGAACCCCGGCCACCGGCGAGGGTCCCACATGGCGCACAGACCTCTCTTGCCACGCCCGCTGCTCCCCTCAGCAGTATACTTTGTCAGTCTGCCTGTTCTGCTCCCCGCTCTAGCTCTGGTGAATTCTCTCATCCTCCCATTCTTCTGACTGTACCCAGTGCTTGTATAAATAAATAAATAAAATCTTTAAAAAAAATTAACCCCTCAGGTCAAATAAAGTATGACTTCATTAGTTATTGTTATTTTTTAAACACCAAATGCTTTTCATTTCTGTGAAGTATATTATCCCAGATAATATTAGTATAATGGTGTATAGTAAGAACTCACTCTTCTATTACTAAAAGACATTTGATGATTCTCCATGATATATAGACAATTTTACCTGCCACTTATTTTCACAAGACCCCTCTCTCACTTGTTGTCTTGTTACAGGGCAGGGAGAGGAGCACCCCACACCCCACAAACCTGCCTGCTCTAAATAGTTTCTGCCATCCGCCGCATCAAGACAAAACATGAGACTTTAATGGGAAGGAAGTTTAATACAATTAGTAAACAACACAGGAAAGGCAAAGAATATAGTTTCTAAATCAAGC